AAAAGTCGTATAAATTGCCCTGGTATTCAAAAGATTTAAAAAAGCTAAAAAACCTTAAAAACAAATTCTATAAAAAATTTAAAACTTCAAGAAATCACGTTTACTTCGTTAAGTATCAGAATTTCTTAAAGGAGTTCGATTCTCTTATAGTACTCCAGTAGAGACTCTTTATACCCTGTAGGGAAACGAACTAGTGCGGAACTGGTTCGGTTCTAGTGCGTTTGGAACCATGACTAGTGCGCATAAAATTAAAAGATCTCTTCATTATACTAAAATTAAATTTTGCACAAGTTTTGGAACTCTGATTTTTGGGGATTTTGTTGTAGAATTGACCATATTTTTATAAAAAATTACCGAAAACTAAAATATTTAAAAAATAGTTGCCCGTATTGTAAAAAATTCGTTGTACCTAAACTTTATTGACTGACTGTATTAAGGTAGCTGTGNAAATAATTTGCGTGATAACCATTTATGTGTTCTGGGAGACTTTAATTTATCAAATATTAACTGGGTTAGCAGTGAGTCATGCCCTAGTCTCATAGCTCATAATATGGTTGCCAATCATGAATTATATTTAGTAGATAGTATTTTGAGTCTTAACTTGCAGCAAATTAATAGTTTTGCTAATGAATTAAACAGAATATTAGATCTTATTTTAGTCAGTGATAATTTGAATTACCGAATTTNCATGTCTTTTCCTAAAAAAAAGGTAGCTCTGGTGGCTTGCATTTTTAAATAAATTTAGTGAGAAAGTGATAATTATTTTGACACTTTTTTTTTAAATGCCTCTTTTTCTGCAACTTTCTTCACTTTGCTGCCCGACGTTTCGCCAAACTCCTTGGCATCTTCTGGGGCGTTTTCTTTATTAAAGGATCAACAAGAAACAAACATAAGGACGTTATTGTTATAATATAATTTGTTAATATGTACACAAAACATTTGTACACACAAGAAAACAAGTAACAAATTTTATATTGAATCTATGACAATTAGCAATTTTTAACATGATACTGAACTTTAAACACTTTTGAGAAAACATTGAAAAACTTACATTTGAAAAATAAACTATTGTACACTTAACATTTAAAACTTCAAAATTTAAACAGCGTTCATACCATCACCCTGTGGTACATTTGTCAAACTAATACTAAAATAGCTATAAACATAATAAGTATGCAGCCGCGATGTCGTCAGTGTCTTCTTTTTTGTTTATTGTTACATTTCATTTTTGCAAAATTCTTAAACTCTCTAGTGTGTATCTTGTTTTTTCTCTTTTTTCCCTATCCACTATTCTCGCGTTAGTCAGATCAGCTGTATGACCACTGGCTAGCACATGTTGGGCTAAAGCAGTGCTGTTTTTATTCTTCCTAATGTCGGCTTCATGTTCAGCTAGGCGAACTCCCAGTAGTCGTTTCGTTGTGCCAATGTACACCATATTGCAGTCTTCGTTTTCGCTCCCTTTGCATGTGATTTCGTATACCACATTGCTTTGTTGGTGGGAGTCTATTGGAGATTTTGTATTTGTAAATATTGAAGACAAGGTGTTGTTAGATTTGTATGCTAATGTAATGTTCTGATTGCTGTTTATTTCGCCTTCAAGTTGTTGGTGGAACTTAGGTACGTATGTGACACTGTGATATCGCTTTGTCTCACTTGTTGTTTTCGACTTGGTTGTTTTGTTATGCTGGTTGTCCATTTCCCTCATTTTTTGTTTGAGTAAACTTTGTATTAGGTGGTGCGGATAGTTGTTGTTAGTGAGAATTCTGTTTATTCTGTTAATGTTTGTGTCTCTAAATTGTGCGTGGCTTATTGTTAGTATTTTATGGATTAGGTTTTTTGCGGTGTTCACTTTATATTTTAAGGGTTGCGAAGACATGAAATTAATTATGCGACCGGAGGATGTGGGTTTCGAATACCAGTCAAGTAGTATGGAGTCGTTTTTCTTATGAATCATGACGTCTAGGAATGGGATGCGGGAATTCGTTTCTGATTCCATAGTGAATTGTAGCTTAGGATGGTGTTCGTTGAGTGTTTTTAAAATTATATCCACGTCGTTTCTTCTTACAATATATATATATTGAAGAAGTTTTTTCTTGCACATAAGCCAAATTGATCAAAATAGCCTAGTAAAAACCAACAATAAAAACATAATTTTGAAACTGATCATTAACTCATCGTTATATTGAAATAAAATAGTTTAGTGAAAGTACCACATTTCATTGCTTTTGGTCTAGTGCTTGACTAGTTACTATCGGACTGGATCGTTTTTGGCGAAAAAGAACTAGTACTGAACTAGAAATTTGTTTCACTAGTTCGTGTTTTCCCTACAGGGTAGTAACTATGTTCGTGACACTGAGGTGAATATTAAATCTGACCCCAAATTGTTCTGGAACTACCTGAAATTAAAGAAAGGATGCTGCAGCTTACCCACAGGAATATTTCTTGGTGATAAAGCTGCGGAGACGCAAAGTGATGCGGCAAATTTGTTAGCTGAATATTTTGGGTCGAATTTTGTTCAGAATGACTTTACATCTGCAGAATTTTCTGCTAATATCTCCTTGTCTCTCAACTTTGGCTCATTAAGTCTCTCATCTGCAGACATAAGTAATGGTATAATTAAACTAAGATCCTCTACACATGTAAATGTTGATGGCCTATCTGCAACTTTAATCAAAAATTGTCCAGCACTAGTCTATCTCTTGAAGTTAATTTTTAACAAATCATTATCTTCAGGTACTTTTATTGATGATTGGAAGCTTACGACGGTAATGCCCGTTTATAAAAATGGTAACAGAATTGACGTTCGTAATTATAGACCTATTTCCAAGCTTTCCGCTATTTCGAAAACCTTTGAGCACACAGTCAATGCCAAATTGAATTTTGCAGTTAAATTTATTATTTCCCCATATCAGCATGGGTTTGTCGCTGGTAGATCTACTGTTTCCAACCTCGCTGTTTTCAGTGAATATTGTTTCGAGTCTTTTTCGTTAGGTTTTCAAGTTGACTGTATTTATACAGACTTCTCAAAAGTGTTTTACAGAGTGTCACATAGTATATTAATTCAAAAGCGTGCTCGCATTGGCTTTCATTCTATTTTTCTGCGTTGGTTGGAGTTGTACTTGTGTAACAGACGGTGTGTTGTCTCAATTGACGGGTCTACTTCTAGCCCGTTCGTTCCATCTTCTGGAGTGCCACAGGGTAGTGTCTTAGGTCCACTTCTTTTTATACTTTTCATCAATGACATTAGTAGTTGTTTTTCTTTTGCAAAATGTCTGCTTTATGCGGACGATTTAAAAGTTTTCAATGTAATTAAAAACACATCTGATGCAATTAGGCTTCAAGATTATATTGATAAGCTTTATTTGTGGTGTCTGAAGTCACGCCTTTCCTTGAACATTAGTAAGTGTTTTCAACTAACGTACTCTAAAATTTCCAATTCTCTGCTTACCAGCTATCATATATCGGCTAATGATCTAAATTATGCAAATGAGATAAAAGACCTTGGCGTAGTGTTTGACGATCGATTTTCTTTCAATAAACACATTAGCTATGTAACTGCAAAAGCGCATTCTGTTCTAGGCTTTGTAAGACGCAATGCCTCAAAATTCTCGGATCCTTATACATTCAAGTTACTGTATTCGTCATTTGTTCGTTCACATCTCGAATATGCGGTTTTTATTTGGAGGCCGTATAATCAGAATGCTATAAACAGGGTTGAACGTGTTCAAAAAATTTTTCTCAAGTTTGCCCTTCGCTGTTTGAACTTTTCATACCCCGTGCCATCATATTCTTCAAGTCTCATGCTTTTGAATCTCAAGTCCCTAGAAAGTCGCAGGCCCGTCTTGTGCCTTTCGGTTACATATAATATTATTAATGGTATTGTTGATTGTCCGTTTTTGTTAGAGAGGATAAGATTTAATGTCCCCAGGCGATCCCTTAGAAATTTCCTTCCGTTTTATGGTTGTAATGCTAGAACGCAATACGCCAGCAATGCCCCGACTTATCGCGCCATTCGTGAATTTAATGCCATGAATAATGTAGTCGAGGTAGACTTTTCAATCCCAAAGACAGCTTTTTTAAAACTTTTGAATTCCTATTTTTAGCTTTATGAATTATNATTAGAACTGAATACGCCAGTAATGCCCCGATAATGCCATGAATAATGTAGTCGAGGTAGACTTTTCAATCCCAAAGACAGCTTTTTTAAAACTTTTGAATTCCTATTTTTAGCTTTATGAATTATTTCTAATAGTTCTAAATTAATGTTGTACTCTTCTAGTCTGTAATGTTATTATAAAACCATAGACTAAATAAATAAATAAATTAATTTAGAGACAGTCTAACAAAGCGCTAGTTCCGAACTACATATATCAGAACTATCTCTGAACTAGTGGAAAACGGATGCAGAGCGGGACAGTTGAAACTTGCGGTGTAAATGTGCAAATGCTCACTACTCGTACAATACGAAAGCAGCTAAGCGAGAACACCTCCGACTCGAAGCATCGTTGCTCGCGAGTTCAAATCACGGTGGAGGCAGTTGTGAGTTTTCAAATTTAATGAACCTAAATTAAAAACGGTTTCTTATAAAAAAAAAACTATCCAAAACGAAACCGGTTAAAAACTAGTTGAAAAGTAATGCACTGGCCGACAATTGCCACCACCAATGACAGCGCCGTGCAAAACTGGAAGCATTGCTTGGGTATTGAGCTAGAACTAGTACTGTCGGCAAAAGGTCTAGTTCTGAGCTAGTCAAATTTTCCGCAGGGTAGTTAAAATTTACATAAATATTAAGGGGTAAAAATGCTATAGACATTCATTCTCTTGTACATTCGGTGTTTCTTTTGTAAGTGTAACTGGATGGGCATGTGATTGTTGTTTCAATTGTTTTTATTGTACCATTATCAACAACAAATTAAACGCTCATTCAGTTACATTTGCACACTATAAACGAGTACACAAAAGAGCGAATTACCCTGCAAGTTTTATTATTTCAGGTGATACCAACGTGCGTTTATTTAATGACTAGAATTGCTGTCCATATGGAGATTGAAGGGACTGCTCATTGCCCCGCACAAGTAATGCTTGCCGCTGCCTTGGGATGTGAAGAGTTGGGAATTGCGAACAAATTACTAGCCCAAAGTATATTTGGATTATGGCTAACTAGCGGACTTTTGGATATTCAGTTAAAATCTCATCATCGGCCTTATCTGGTAAGAATAACATGGCAGTCTCTACTGGATAAATTTAGCCATGGTAATCCAATCGAAAAAAAGTTTGACGAACCTATGATTATGCTTAAACGAAACGTTTTTTTTTCAAAACGTGATGAGGAAAAAATCAAGTATGTATTTATGTTTTTAAAATCTAATTACATGCATATGTACATATCTGTGTTCGTATGGAATAGTAGCTTATGTCGGGAAGCTGGCTTTAGTATAATGCGGCATTCCCTTTAATCTTTAAATGACAAAGAATTTTTTGACGAGACTTAATAAGAATATTGACTTGCTAGTATCGGATCTATTTCTTGCGCGTTAATTTGCCAAAAGTTCTTCAACGGCTTGGTGCCATTGAGTCATTCGCAATCGTATACTGCGAATGCTGCATTATACTAAAGCCAGCTTTTCGACATAAGCTACTATTACATACGAACACAGATATATAGTATAGCATTCAAGAGTATATAAATTCTTCCCAGGGATCACCGCATTTTAGAGTTATTGTATGAAGAAGCCAAATATAACGTGTTATCTGGCCGATACGTTATGGAGCCAGTTCATGCTTTAATGCTTGGTGGCATACAAGCACGAATCGAGTTAGGTCCGTATAACCCACATACGCACACTGTTAGTTTTTTAAGGTAGAGTTATTTCAAATTACAGTTATTTAAATTGTTTAATAATAAAGGTAATTTTAGGGAAAACCAATTAAGATTCCTACCACATCATGTTGCAAAAAGTACGAATTGGTCATGGCTGCCCGTTAGTCGAAAAAACTCAGCTGAAGTTAAATTGCTTGAACAATTCAAACGCGTTCCTCAGACAGCGACGACGAAAAAACTCATACGCAAATATTTAGAATTTTGTTGGGCACTTCCGTTTTATGGGTAAATATTTTAAAATCATTATAATATAATGTACATATAAATGTGTTCTGTAGAGCGGCATTCTTTTATGGCCAAGTAGAGCAGCCTGTTCGCGGTCTTATGAGTTTGGTAAGCCATAAGGATGTTGAAGTACTTACAGCAGTCAATGAGCGTGGGCTTTTTATTATCGATCCTGTAGAATGGGTAAGTAAAGAAAATAGCAAAATTTTAGCCTGCATCATAGCAAAGAAAATGCTGCTACATACATATATTGCTCCGAACACCACAATATAAGTAGTGGATTAGAGGCGAAATTAAAGGTGTGCAATAGGCTATGGGCGTTGTGGAGTCAGGGTAGTCAGGTCAGAAGCTGAATAAAACAGGACACGTTTCGTTTGGCTAGAGCACAAGAAAACAAGAAAACACAACGCAACTTTATACTCCTTTAGCTTTAATGTGAGGACTGAAACGGTTTTTAATGATTTCATTATTTTCTTTAAGTCTATTGGGAGCTTTGACAATTTTACCCTGAAATCGTTTGACGCTGAAAGCTTGCTGGAGTATTTGTTTTTAACCGACTTCACAAAAAGAAGAAGGTTATCAATTCGTCGAAATAAATATTTTTTCTATGTATGTTACCGCATAACTTTGGACCACGGTAACCGATTACTATAATTTTTTTTTTAAGGAAAGGTGTTACCTGACAGGTTGTCTAATTTGGTTTAAATCCGATCATTGGATCATGAATACATAATTTTAATTTCTTTTGGATAATCTTAAATTCTTAGATGGGAATTGTAATCGGTTTTGTTTTGTGCATTTTTTTTTGCTTAAAAATTACTTGTTTATGTAAGCATTTGTTGAAAATGCAGTCTCACATAGAAATGAAAAGTAAGACCCCTATTATGAGTTGCATTCGACTGTGGTCGAAAGTGCTGATCGAACGAATTTTCATATAGTATTATGACGCTCATTCGATGAAGAATAGCGTTATTGTGAATTTCGCTCGGTTAGGTTGTTTACAATAGTATATTTTCCACCGCTGAGAAGTTTTGTTTACAAACCGAGCAAACTAAATAGTGTGCTTATACATAAATATGTAAATTTGTGCAAATTAAAATGAAAAAAAAGGAAATCGAGTTTATAAAAACGTGGAAAAAATTAGTACAACGGAGTTCTGGTTCAACGATTCGTCAGAAGGTGAGAGCTTGGTAAACAGACCAGGAGTAGAAAATGTTTAAGAGTGTTTAAATGTAGTCTTTCGAATATATTTTGACATAAAAAATATAAAATATTTAAGAAAATTGTCTACAGATTTATTAAAAACTTCCGACTATCTAAAGAGGCGTTTGTGAGCTAAATCTATTTAAAATATCAACAGCTTAAAATTTTGTTCTCAGAGATCGTGCCAACTGAGTGTTGGGATTTTCTTTCACAAGTAAAGCCAGTTTTTCGAGCTTGTGTTTAATATTGACGACGTTAGAACTGCATGAAATTAATAAAAATTGTTTAAAATTAGTGTCTAGCCGCCAGTGAAAACTAAATACAAAATCATACATTTTTCACAATTTTCTAACACTTCGCTACACCGTCGAAATCAAAATTCTGTTCGACAGATAATTCGATACTCAACGAAAATTTCGACACGGTTGCAGAGCTCATAATTTCAATATCGATGTTCGATCTTCGATAACCAGCGAAGATCGAAAATCGAATGGAACCCATAATAAGGGCCTAAAAGTCACTAGTATTTTGTAATGAAATCTTGCCATCAGTAGTATTTTCTTCATACACTTGCATCCAGAACTCTCTTGGTTCCCTTCGTAGAATTTAATATTCAAAGTGCTGTCGTAACTGATATCCAGAAGGTTTTCAAAAGCTTAATTTGTCATCCCAGTAGGTTTACTTTTCGGGTCACATGGAACACGGGTTTGTTATCCGGCTGTAGACATCCTCAAAGTCAATGTTGGGAAAATATTCGACAATGGTTTTTTCTAAACCTTCCAAGCAATTTAAGTGGTAAATGATTTGAATTTTTTGAATGTTATATGGAAATTGCTAGTGAAACCGGCTGTTATCAATTTTCTTAGCATTAACTTAGAAGTTACATACGGCTTTCTGATAACTTTGTTTATTTATGGGGTTTTCATGCAAATTCCTAGAAATTCTAAAATATACATGTCACCAAGAAAAAAATCACGACGTGCTAGAAAAAACCAGAAGTTTATTTTAATTTCGCAGGCCTCTGTTATCTTCGCAGCGTCATCCAATACGGGTTTTATATCTAGTGGCGGCATTTTTCAAGTCGCCAGGGAATACCGAGATCATACAGTGACTTCTCGTAGCGTTTTCTGACTCTTGCTTCATCCTAGACATCACTGCTTTCGTTTTTCCAACCACCGCAAATATCCGCACACTTGCTCCATTTCAAACTTGTTTTATACCCGAGCGCACAAGGGTATTATAACTTTGTTCACATAACGGTTGTTTGTAACAGGCAAAACGAATCGAGATAGATATAGACAAATGTATACATAAATGATCAGAATGAAAAGAGAAATCGATTAAGCGGCGACTGTCTGTCCATCTGTCCGTCCGTCTGTGCACACGGTAACTCGTGTGGTATTGAAAAATGGGTAAAATCGGACAATAACCACGCCTACCTCCCATATAAAGGTAATTTTCAGAAAAACGAAAACTGCGATATTTTAGTAACTACTGAA